GTCTGTCAAGATCTCGCTGAATGGCAGCGCAATCTTCTGGTGTATCAGCCGCTCCTCCCAGTTTTGTATCATCAGCAAACTTGCTGAGGGTACACTCTGTCCCCTCGTCAGGGTCATTAATGAATATGTTGAACAAGACTGGACCCAGTACTGACCCTTGGGGCACACCACTAGCTACAGGCCTCCAGACTGGTTAAATTTTATCACATTAATCATGGCCTAATGCTCCAATTTATCTAGATTTCTCTCTGCATGGCCTCTCGCCCCTCAAGAGTCAACAGCACTCCAGGGGTGTGTGCGTGTGTGTCAAAAACTATCATTACAACAACTCAGGTAAGAAAACTCGTCTTCTGCTAAAGAAAAGCAGCGCTTGGAGTGGTTGTACCACCGCAGTGTAAATGGGAAATGGGAAAAAGCCATTCTCAGTGGCTTTCTATCTCCCTGTGAAGTGCTTCTTGGCTACAAACACAGGTAGGATGAACAGCCCCCCAAAACAGCAATGGAGCTCATCTCAGCACCGTCCATGCCAGAGTAGGGCAATGAGTCTGTTTCCCCAGGCTCACACGGATACTAAAATCACTGGCCCATCCAATCTGAAAGAATTTGGAAACCATAAATCAGAGGCTGGCTTGAAGCGGGTGAAAAAATAATTTCCCCAATTATTTTTGCTTCCTTTGGTTTACTTCAAAACCAGACCTTCCTTTCCTGCCGTGTCTTTTCCCGGCTCCACCGGCCTTCAACGAAAGAATCTAAAATCCCCAACTCACTGTTTGCCGACACTTCCAAATGCTAACGAATGGAAAGTCTTGCACGTAACATTTCTGGGGAAGACGCTTTTCCCCCTCTCTGCAACAGCTTTGTTAAACGTCACGTAAAGGAAATTCAGATCAGCAAACTTCTCCGCATATTTGACCAAGGTTGAGGTCTTTCCTGTACCTGAAGAACAGAAGAAAGTAAACAAAAAGCATCCAGAGTCAAGTATGAACAAACCCACACATCTCTTACCAGCTTTACCTTCCCCCTCCTGCTGTCCTAACCACACAGCAGGATTATTTGCAGCTAATGAGAATTTATTCACTGACTCATCTGACATCAGCAGAAGCTGTGGAGGAAAGCAGCTTTGAAAAATTACAGTCTGCGGCCTAAAAGCTTTTTAAAAATAAAAAAATAAAAAAAATTATCACCCAATATTCTAGAAGTCTGAGCATACATGAAGGTACTGGTTCTCTTGAAAGACAGCTCGGTAAGTGAAATGTTAAAATTGCTCTTTTAAATGATTAATGAGCTCATTTCCTTGCAAGATCTCCCACTAACGCTGCTCTCCTTCACTCTAGTTTGCAGCAGGACAGCACTGGCAAAGCTACCTCACTTGTGAGGTACCAATCACAACAGAAACCTGAGACAAGAAGGGCTCCACACATTTCCTTCTTTGTCCCTTTTCATATCCTCAGTGATGACACAGTGTCAGCAAACTTTGTCACCTCGCTGTTCACACTCCTCCCGGAGGACTCGTGAATGTGGGACAAAGCAGGTCCCAGCACAGATCCGTACAGGACTCCAGGAGTTACCACTCTCTGTGCAGAAAACTGACCAATCTGCTCCTACTTCTGCTTCCTAGCTTTTAACCAACTAGTCACCCACGAGGATCTTTTATCATTTCGCCTGGTATGGATATTGGGCTCGCTGGTAGATTGCTCCCATCTCTCCCTGTACAACTCCACTGCCACAGCAGCTTTCAGCAAGAAATCACACTCGGCTACTGGTTCAGCCACTTCACCCTTGAGTTCCTTTACATCTTCTGGGTGATGCAGTCCAGACCATGAAACGAATAGCACTGACACTTACTTCATCCGCAACCTTTCCAATGTGAATATGAGACCGACCCTCTGGTGGACCCCCTACAGAGAAGGATCCCGAGGCTGGTCTTGTCCAAGAACACAGATGTAGAAACGCATTTACCTTTTCTGCCACCGCATTGTTCACCCTAAGGCATCTTTTACACTGTAGTTAGCTAACATCCTCATCTACACGTTTGAAGAAGGATTATGAGTCTTTTATGCTTTTTGCCAGTGGTTCCTCAAGCTCTTTTTCTGCCCTGCCTTGTTGCGGTTACACGTAAGCTGTCAAAGCTCATGAACATTCTTGGTTTTGTCATTTGGACACAGTGATGTTGTACAGAAATAAGAAACCACTATTAGTGGCTTTTGTACCATGGCGCTTAGCTGTATGTGTCCTTTTGGAAGCCTTTGGGGCAGAGAGCATGTATTAGCTCTGAGCCCCCGGTGTGGTGTCTTTAAAGGAAACTCTCTGCAGGTGGAGGGACATGATTTATTTTTCTTTTTAAACAGGCTCCCTTGATTTTATGCACTTCCCCTTTTCAAAACTGCGCAAGTGCAGAAGATTTCTTGGCTTGTGTTGCTTTTACAGAGATGCTAAATCTAAACAAGTAAGACTGACTCCGTCTAGTGGCCTGTGGACAATAACACTGCGAAACAGGCTCAGGAACACACGGAGAGTTGCTTCTCCTCTCCTGGATTCCCTACTAGCTGCTCTGGGCAGTTATCGACAGCGCCCAAACACTCAGTTTTGGTATCGTGTCCGAATATGACATTTACCCAGCTTGTATGGGAGTAACCACCACGCTTCCCATTCTGATTTCTCTGCAAAAGCTTGCTCTGATTTTTTGTATTGATTAAAAGTAAGGTTGAGCCCCCTGGCATCCACAGAGTTCCTTGGACAGAAGCAGCGGGGAAGGAAGGAGCAGAATTAGAGGTCATGCATTTATTCTTATGACACAATTTTTGGCTCTTACCTGCAAATGCCATAATTTTAACTATTTGACCATGCTCAATTTTGTGATTCAAAATCCTCTGCTGTTCATGGGTCAGGTTTATTTCAGGCCAGCTACTAAAATCAGAAAAAAAACAGAGCAAAAGGAATTAAGAAAAAAAAATAATCCTCCTACATAAAAAACCCAAATTGACTAACAGCAGAAGGAAACCAATGAATGATTTATCCCAGCCCACAAGCAGGAAGGTAGCACTGGAGCAACTTGGTTATCATGCAAATGAGAGAAGCAGGAAATAATAAATATTGGAGATAGCGGAAAATAAAAATTAAACCTTGGGAAATGTTGCATAGGAAAAGATCTTCTCAAGGGCACTAAGCCATGCTTTAAAAATGAATTTGGCACCCTGGCTACCTAGGCTTACTGAAAACAAACAGCAACTTGGGTTTGGGGTGTTTTGTTGCTTTCGAGAGCATGTCCCTTAAATTCCTTTATGATTTCTCAGCAGGTAGGACAGATCAATTATCCCTGCCTCTCAGGGGAGCTGAGAGCTTTGATTAACATTAAGAAAAGCATTCAGCGCTTCTGGCTGGAGTGCAACTGCTTTATTCACAAAGGTCTGAAACCTGTAATCAGCCAACAGTGTGAACCATCTCTTCGCACAGGGTCCTCCCGATACCGTGCGTAAGGGCGGAAAGCCTTGTTTAAGTATCCTTGACATTTCACAGCTGGCAGTTCGATAGCTGCCCCCAGGATGCATCTTTTACTGAACAAGCAAAATCTGCTTAGAAAAAGACTTCAAATGGAGGGGTAGAAACCCAACATCCGTTTACCTTTATTTTTTTTTTGTTACAACCTCTCTCACTGTTATACCACAGATCATCGGTGATTTTATTTGATTTATTTTTGCTAGATCTCTGTGACAGATGAAAGCACTACTATCCCCCTTCTGTAGGTAAGGACAAGGAAACTAAATGACTCGAGCCAGGATAACTGCAGCAGAAGAGGAACCAAGCCTCGATCTCCATGTTTCATTTACTGTCCTTCCTTTCTAGGCAGCAAGCTACCAACCAATGCTAATTTATAACACACACGTAAATATGTATGTTAGTATATAACAGTTATCCAACAGGATCCAGAAAACAGAAGCCAAATCAATATCCTGCAGCCGGTATCTCGTTTCCTCCCGTGCCCAGAAATTAGTGTTCATAAATGAGTGGCCACATTATTTGCACTACAGTAGCATCACCAGCAAGCCAGCCCTTCGTTTTGGTGGGCTGCAGCTTGCGTTTCCAGAGGAAATTAAAGCAGGAACTCTCCCCTCCTTCCAGAGCTTCTTATCCACAGGGAGAGTGGTGATTTGGGAAGGTACTTTGGGATGATTTGGGCTCTGTGAAATTTCAGTGGCCATCGCACTGGAGCACACAGAACTGCGTTCCACTGGTACACAGACCCATCGGTGAATAATGACTTTTAAATTCAGTCAGTGGTTGGTAACTCAATTTTTACAGATTTAAGGCCTGATTCTGGTTTTCCTCTAAGAATTCAGGGTGGAAGATGACAAGGAGCAGAATAAGGGTTTGTACTAATCCTTAGGAATCTCAGAGTCTTGTCAACCAGCCCTTGCCAGGAAATGTTTGCTCCCCCTCGAAGATTCAGCTCGGATCACCTATAACAGCATTACCCAGCCCATAAGTCTCTTCTGCAGTGTGGTGCCGGTGTTTCCTCTTCTACTGTCTGCACAGTTACAGAAGCATTTTCCATCAGGTACAAGCAGTAGAAAATATTGTAATGGATCCTGGTAGAAAAGACAAAAGAGAAACTATCATTAAGAAATCACCAATAACAAATAAAATGTCCGCAGCCACCTAAAAGACCGCCAACATCTTGAATACTTCCAACAGAATGATGCACAGAGCCCTGAGCGCTCAGGGAGTTGCAGGAGACGATATTCACATTTTAAAGTCAGTTATACCTTGAAAAGCCATTGCAAAGGCACCACGGGGACAGCTCCGTTTGTGGCCTCTCCCTCACTCCTGCAAGGTTTTTGTTTCAGGGTCTGCCATGCAAACATGACCTGGGCTCAGAGTCCACAGGATCCTTTTTCTCTCCTGAATCACTATTAGCAAGAGAATCTGGGGGAGCCCGAGACAGAATTTGGGCTACTTTAGGTCTCTAAAGTGAACCAGTTTCATCAACCATCTTACGATTATTTTAAACAAGTGTGTTGGCCCTGACAATACTTCATGGTGCTTTGTTACTGCAAAGAGCGGAGCACAGCGACTCTGCAGCTTTAATTACACCAGCAACAGCAGGTTTAAAATTAACCTCCATCGTATATCAGGGTTGGCACCACTGTGGTTTTATCTTTTAGTGCAGCTTTGTTCCTGTGACCTAACAGCTGTTGCAGGACAGTTTTGTGTCTCACATTAGGTGACCTCAGACTCACTGGTTGCTCTAGGAGCTACAAATAGGTATCAGACAGTTCCTCGACGACGTGTTTCCTCCTTACGCACTAAATTACAAACCTTGTGGGGTTTTGAAGAGATAATGGCAGAAGAGACATGGTCATTCCTACTTCTCCTAGTCTAGATTGTTCAAGGAGATGGAGATGGCATGTGGGTGACTTAGACCATGAGCTCTCATTGCTTGTGAGCAACACCCGCTGTCTGCCTGTGCTGGGCTTGGCTGGGGGGGAGTTAATTTTCTTCAGAGTAGCTAGTACAGGGCCGTGCTTTGGATTTGTGCTGGAAACAGCGTTGATAACACAGGGATGTTTTAGTTACTGCTGAGCAGTGCTTACACAGAGTCAAGGACTTTTCTGCTTCTCACCTCACCCCACCAGTGAATAGGCTGGGGGTGCACAAGGAGTTGGGAGGGGACACAGCCGGGACAGCTGACCTCAGCTGACCCAAGGGATATCCCATACCATATGACGTCATGCTCAGTATATAAAGCTGGGGGAAGACGAAGGAAGGGGGACACACATTTGGAGTGATGGCATTTGTTTTCCCAAGTCACTGTTACACGTGATGGAGCCCTGCTTTCCTGGAGATGGCTGAACACCTGCCTGCTGATGGGAAGTGATGAATGAACTCCTTGTTCTGCCTTGCTTGTGCACACAGCTTTTGCTTTACCTGTTAAACTGTCTTTATCTCAACCCCCAAGTTTTCTCACATTCACTCTTCTGATTCTCTCCCCCATCCCACTGGGGAGGAGCAAGCGAGTAGCTGCGTGGTGCTTGGCTGCCAACTGGGGTTAAACCACGACACTGCCACATCTTCAGCAGGTGTTTACTCAAGTTTATGACCTTAGCCAGCAATTATCAATCTCTATCAGGCCAAACAAGCATTCTGATTTCCCTGGTTGGTAGCCTGAGCACACAGTTGAGTAAACAGAGAACAAACCCTTCTCTTGTGTCTAACACAGGCTAAACTATAACTTGCAGAAGGCAGCCCATGGAACCGTCTTCTTTCTGGCTATAGATTCCTTTTCCAGTGTATTTCCTTGCCAGTCTTCTCATAAGAAGAATTTACACGTGTCCTTAATCCTTATCTCATCCTCACTGCAATTCTGAAGCAACCTGTGGGCTCTTACCTGCGTTACCAGGCACCTCCATGAAAAAAAGGCACAGGACAGATCGCTACGCACATTCAGTGGGTGCCCATGGGACTCGTAGTGTGATTTAAGAGTGAAGTAAGTAACTGGTCTCAGGAAGATAATAACTGCATTACATTGTTGCAGCTCGTGTGTATCTATTTCTAATAGGAAAGTTTCTATAGTTGCTTTAAAACCTGCTTTTCCTTCTGAAAAAAATTATTTTTCTTGAGCACTACTTCCCCAAAACCAAGCAGACTATGAAACAGTCTAGGAGTTAAAGCAAATCCAAAGGCAACGCTCCTGAAAAAAGCTAGGGATATGCACACTGTTCCTGACAAACTGCATGCACTGAGGAACTGAAGAACCCTAACCAAGAGGAACATAATTGCTCATGAGCATGTATTCACTGTATACAGAATCATAGAATCATTTAGGTTGGAAAAGACTTTTAAGATCATCGAGTCCAACTGTTAACCTAACACTGCCAAAATGGAAAGTTTCCAGTACCCCAAACCCCACATCTACACGGCTTTTAAACCCCTCCAGGGATGGTGACTCCACCACTTCCCTGGGCAGCCTGTCAAAGTCAAAGTGCTTGACAACCCTTTCAGTGAAGAAGTTTTTCCTAACATCAAATCTAAACCTCCTCTGGCGCAAGTTGAGGCCATTTCCTCTTGTCCTATCGCTTGTTACTTGGGAGAAGAGACCGACCCCCACCTGGCTACACCCTCCTTCCAGGTAGTTGTAGAGAGCAATCAGGTCTCCCCTCAGCCTCCTTTTCTCCAGGCTAAACACCCCAGTTCCCTCAGCCGCTCCTCATCACACTTGTGCTCTAGACCCTTCACCAGCTTCGTTGCTCTTCTCTGGACACATTCCAGCACCTCAATGTCTTTCTTGTACTGAGGGGCCTAAAATATATATTACACATCGCCATGGCTAGAAAGAGGCAGGCAGGAAGCACCTCCCCACTCCTCACCTGTTAGTGATCGCAATGTTCCTGTCTCTCATCGCGTAGAGCAGCGTGGCTATGCAGTAAAGCATCTCGGTCACGTCCACAACGGAGAGGGTAGAGCAGGGTCTCTGCAGACACGCCATCAGCCTTTGGATGTCACTGACGCCATCGGAGAAAAGCACCATGACTGCAATTATGGCCCACATGTTCTCAGGCTGGTAGAGGCAACGAGAAGAAAGTGAGAAAAAAGCTTTGAGCCTTTAGGAGCAGGGAAACCCTGCTTCAACACTGAAAAAAACCACTTATGCCATGACGAGTAGTTAAATTCTCTTCGGTCTCCCTGACTAGTAGCAAAGAACACCCCACAGGGAAAATCTTTAGATGCAGGAGGGTAGACATGACTTCAAAGCACCAGCAGTTGTTAAACCTGTTAAATAAAGCAGTTAATAACTGTTAAACTTACCCCCGTCCTGCTCTGTAAATGTGGCAGTTTGTTCACAACGCAGACTTCAGCCTTTGAGAAGAGGTGATGACTCTTCAAACACCGGAGAACCGCACTGGGATTTACCTTCTGTGCGGTGGCTATGGCAGACACATACCTGCGCAGAACGGGAACAGCGGCATTTGCAAAGAAGCCTTATCAAGTGAGTTTATCCTTCAAGTAAATAACGCCTTCTCCAAAGCACCATCAGTCAGGCTGCAGTCAAGCGTAACTATACCTTGCTCTGCGCCCCACAGATTTGACCAGATGCATTCAGTGATGAGGCTACAAGGTGCTGAACTTGGATTTCCAACCCTAGTTGTTGCACCTACACAAGTAATTCCCAGTTCCGTTGCGCAGACATGTGCTTAAATACTTTGCTGCATCAAGCCCTTAGTCTGCAAGTTCATTCTGGCTGCCTGGAACTCTCCTTCCACCTTGCTCTTAACCCAGTTTGACTCTTCTATTTGCACAATCTGTCATACAAAATTGCCCTCTAGACTACAGGGATCTGAACAGAGCATTTGCTTTTGTCAGGGACCTGTCCTGGGCTTGGGCTTGCTGCTGAGGTGTGACTGATAAGTCAGTGCGGGTCCAGGAAAGGAGCCTTTCAGGAAAGGAAAAGAAGAAAATACATTGGAGATGGGAGGGACCAGGAAGAAGAGCTCAAATCTCACACCCTCCACAAGATACCAGTATTTTAGCTAAATCCAGGAGATGCTGATCCTCTCTGAGACCCTGGCTGATCAAGAAATGGAAAAGCAGTGCTGACATGACAGATTCCAGAAGGGATGCTAAAAGGGACGCTTAAATTGAGTCTCACTCTCTCCAGCATAGTCACCCTGTAGGAAGGAACCATATAACATCTTCTCCCAAGTTGGCTGTTGGGTGCCAGATGCCAGCAAGTGACAGGACAGCCCAGCCTTTTTTGATTTTGTCATCTAATGCTTGTCTTGGAGCTCCTGGCAGCTTCTCTTAACTGCTGTCCCCAACCTGGGTGTGCTATGGCATACAGGTCCATCTCAAAACCTTCCTTTGAGTCTCCAAACCCAGTAGTTGCTTGCTGACACCCTCTTGCTCAGGTTCTCATCTTTTTCCTCCTTTGGTGCAACAACCATCTCCCCGCCCTCCAAGAGGCAACACGATCCAACACAAAAGGACACCACCAAGCCTGTTCTTCTGGCCTCTCTTCCCAGTCCACGTTCAGTTTCTCCAAGGCTATCCCTGCCCCAGGCTTAGCAGCTTCTCCCTCACTCATCCAGCACTTCTCACTTCAAAATCACGGAAACTGCAGAAGGGAATTAGGAAGCCACGTGCTCAAAGCAGGGACGACTTCAAAGTTTGGTTGATTGTCCAGCTGAGGTCTGGGCATCTCCAAGGATGGAGACTCCCCACCTCTCTGGGCCAATGTTTGACCACTCTTCTAATACCCAGCTGGATTTCCTACGCTGTAACTTGTGGCCATCGCCTCTTGTCGTCTCACTGTGCACTGGCAAAAAGAATTTGGCATCATGCTCTCTACAGCGCCTCGTTAGGCAGGGGAAGACAGCAATTAGATTCGCTTTCCACCTTCTCTTCTCCAGATTTCATCCTCTACTTGTACATCACGTGCTCCCAACGCAACGAAGAAGAGGAAAGATAAGGGTTTTTTTACCTATTTCTAGAACCCTATTAGTGATTCCTACTGTTCCTTCCTCATCTTCCTGCACATCTTCCACCTGTTTAGAAGACAAACTCATTTCTCTCCTGGCAATTCACAGGATAAAATGGAAGAAGATCCAAAGCAAAGAAAGTCTGAGGATCTACAGGTACAAAGTCAAGTGCTGAAGTGGACTCACCTGATCAGCCCCAACACACATCCTTCCTGCTCCTTCGTTATGGCAAAATCCTGCAAGATCCGCTCAACTGTTTGCAGGGCTGCGTCCTCCTTCATCAGGTACCGATGGTACAGCTTTTTCCAAGGAATGAACTAGAATGTGAAGCACATACCACCATCTTTCATCTCACAGCATGGGAAAATAGATTTCTTCTGGCAATAAGCTAATCAACTTCCCAAGAAGACCTAGAGTTCAAAAAGTCCCTGCAGCTTGATGGAAACAAGTACCTAGCGTGAGATGGGGAAGGAAAGAGGAAACAGAGGAAAGAGAGAAAGACTTGTTCCTCATAGCCTGCAAACATGTCTATAAAAGGCTGTTTTTTTCTAGAATGATGGGAACAGGGTGATGCTGGTTCAGTTTCAAACATCAAAGCATTAAAGGAATGGAGGTATTTTCAGCATTATCGCACAGATCTGCTCTGAGCAGCGTCTGAGTGCTTAAAATCCCTGTGTCCATGAAGCCCTACCCTCCCACAGCCTGCTGTTTGGACTTCTTCGGTAAAAACAGACCGGGCGCTGCCTTTTAGGCTGCGTAACAGAGAGAAGAGCAGACTTGGGAGAGGACCTGAGCACAGTAAGCATTCAATGCATGCATTTTCTATGCATCTCTCTAGTTCTTCAGGCTCAAAGCATGCACACTGTGCTGATAAAGCACTGAGTGCAGGACACCTCCTGTACTGCGTCCAGCCTCGCCCATTCAAATTTATCAGAAGAGCATGAAGAAGAAACTTGGACCTCCACAAAAATCTGGGCTGTGACCAGTCCCCCACCACTCTCTTTGTACAAGCTGAGGATTTCCAGCGTGGTGACCAAGTCTAGTGGTGCCAGCTGTCTCCGAAGCACTTCTAAGTGAAATGCAGAGATCCTCCCTGTGGCCATAACAACTGTCAATGGGTTCACGACTGTGCTGTAGGGCCAGATGAACCAAGCTCCGAAGCTCCATAAAAACAGAGTTAAAGGCCTTTCCTCTAAACCAAAAGACACCACACATACACAGGCTGGGGGACAGTGACGTTGACTGGTCATGAGAGGACACTGCCCAGTCTGCTAGCCAGAATTTCCTGCGTGATCCCTGTCAGAAAAAAAGGTTGCAAGAAAAACAGTGAAGGGGGATTTTGTGGAGTCTTACAGGATGTTTTCTTTCCATATATGGGAAGAATGCATCAAGGGAAGTTACCCTAATATTGATGTTCTGATCCAGGTTGGCATCTGAAGATGCCACTGTAGTCCTGAAGACCAAAAAATGACAAAAGATCTCATAAGAAAGGATGTGGGCATTAGGGGACAATAAAGGGATTTAAAGGAGCAAAGAGAGACAGACACAGCATGGATGCTCCTACAGCAACACATGCAGCTGCAAGACTAAGACAGAGCAGGAGGAGAAGGGACTGGCTCAAATCAGTATCACAGCAGTCCTTACCAGTGGGTCCCTGACTATCTCCCTCCAGCAATGACACACCAGGCTCAGGTTCTGATACAGATCAGTCACTGGTAGGAAAGCAAAGATGTTCCTCAGGACTTCAACAGGCAGCTCGTCAATACTTCCCTGAGGCACTTCCCAGTTACGAGTTCCCAGGAGTCCGTAGTGTGCATCAGGGACTGGTTCGATTTCCATATCATCAAGTTCCTGCTTGATTTGGCTGCGTTCCTGCTTGATCAGGCTGGGTTCTGGATGAACCACCGTTGGCTGCTTCTCAGGCTTACCCCACAAATTGTGCTCTGGCTTGTGAACGCCTGCTGCTGCAGTGAATTGAGGCCATTTTCTGGAGCTTACCCTGGGAGCTGGTACAAAGTCTTCATCCTCCAGAAAAGAGCAGGAATCACTGCTGATCTCCATCACAGTGGAGACACTGCTGAGGGAATCATCAGGTTCAGTGAAGATGGGATCCAGCAGCTCTTCTTTGATTCTACAGTTCTTCGTCCCACCGGTACCTACTTGATGTGCCTGAGAGATCCTGAAGTAATCAGTGATGCTCTTCTGCTGACCTTGGCCTGCAGAAGGAGGAAGAGCATGAAGTCAACAGAAACAACTGAGCTAACAAGGAGACCAGAGCTTGTGTAAGGAGGTAGTTATTTCCACAAGGTTCCTTACAGACATACGAGCCTACTACCGATGAACTGTCCTGCTTCATATTGCTTCTCTGGCAACCTATGGAAATCAACAGAACAACGTTCATCTCTTTGCACTGTCCACATAATCTGGGCGCTCTAAAGGTACATCTGACACCTTCCCTAGCTTCTAGAAAAAGATATGGTCTGCATAACAATCTCTCAGATCAACAATCCTCAGCTACATAACACAGCAGAGGTGTGTTAAACAGAAACACAGCTGCAGAATGAATTTCATGGGAGATCTTTCCACTAGCCAAAGAAACAGAAACAGGAAGGAAACAAAATTCAAGATCTGAGCTGTTGTGGTGTACCTCAGACTGAGGTTGGGCTCCCAGCAGTTATTTATTGTTCTTAATCTGGTGAACAAGAAGCACACTAAGATTTTAGGAAAGCTTCAGGGTTTAACTACTGCTCTGCACCATGAGAAGGTCACAGCACCAAGCCTCTAGCAGGCTGCTCCTACCACACTATAAGAGAGACCAAGAACTTTAAGAGGATAAACAGCCATTTCTTGCTAGTCTGCAAAATATCCTGATGTTTCACTAAGAAGCAACTCGAGAAGAAAAAAATCACAAGCAGCTACTGCTGATTTTAATGTATTTTATTTCTGGATGTTCATGAAGGTGTAGCTTAGAGAGATCTGATTTGTAAGACACTTGCTCCTTAAAAACAACAGCTTCCCTGCTAGTGTTTGACTCCAGTACCCTAAAACATGCAGCATTTAAGAGTACTAGATTTTTTTAAAGTGAGATAGTCAAAGATGTCACTGACAAAAAAAATGGAAAAGTATGTCTAGGACCCTGGTGTCTTGTCCTGGCTCACCAGCAGATGTTCTCTGTGAAGTACTCCCCAGGACAGTAAGGACATGGAGCTGTCGGACAGAGTCCAGAGGAGGCCACAAAGATGATCCCAGGGCTGGAGCACCTCTGCTATGGAGACAGGCTGAGAGAGTTGGGGTTGTTCAGCCTGGAAAAGAGAAGGCTCCAGGGAGACCTTAGAGCACCTTCCAGTCCCTGAAGGGGCTCCAGGAAAGCTGGAGAGGGGCTGGTGCCAAGGGCAGGGAGTGACAGGACAAGGGGAATGGCCTGAAGCTGCAGGAGGGGAGATGGAGATGGGATCTGAGGCAGAACTTCTTCCCTGTTAGCGTGCTGAGGCCCTGGCAGAGGTTGCCCAGAGAAGCTGTGGCTGCCCCTGGCTCCCTGGCAGTGTTCAAGGGCAGGTTGGATGGGGCTTTGGGCAACCTGGGCTAGTGGAGGGTGTGCCTGCCCCTGGCAGGGGGGTGGGACTAGATGACCTTTAAAGGTCCCTTCCAACCCAAACTGTTCTGTGATTCTATGATTCTAAGCGAGTCGGCTCACACCAAGGCACAGACAGATCCCCAGGCCTCCCAGGGAAACACTGAAATGCTCCCAAGTCTCACCTTCCACAGTGACCAAGGCACTCAGGAGCTCAGGAATAACTCAGGAGGTTTTTTCTTTGCTTTCCACCTGTCTCCTCGCCTACAGGTGTGCGTAGGCTCTCTTGTCACTAGGCAGGTTTTGAGGCTGGGCTTTTAACCCTGCACTATTAGCTATTTGAAAATAGCTCTTTCATCTTCTGTTCGAGCCCTGAGCCCTGTCGTGTGCAGATTAGCTCAGTCTTATCAATCCTCAAAAGCCCTCTAAGGCTTCGGCACTTCTGAAACCCACATCTACAAGTTGCGTACCACAATGTTTCCCACTCCCAGTAAAGTCAAAGATCATTAATATCTGGTTAGTGCTCAACGACACTCTTGCAGTCGTATATATCTAAACAGCTTGTTATTATTTAATAAGTATCCTAAAGAGCATCTAGAAGCAGGAGTCACATCATTAATAGTGCCTAATTGTAGTGTTCCTCAGGGAGAGCTGCTGTTCTCTCCACGTAGTCTCCGACAGCTCAGCGATAGAGACATAGAGGCATTTCTGGTGTGAGGAGAGACTAAACACACATGCAAGGGCAAACTTGCTCCTCTACAGAGGAAAGTATTCAAAGGTATCTCCTTTTCTTGCCATTTGACTTTGCGGAGGTAGAGCTTAAGCCCAGTTTTGCCACACACCACTCAAACCCAACCAATTTCTTCCATTTACGCCCACCCCGCCTGACATTACTCTCCTATCAGCACGAATTTGACAATGGACTACACAGCGCCCTTTTGTTCCACACCATATGAGCATTTTTCTCCCCCCAAATCCCTCAGCCTTCAAAGTATTCGCAATCGGTGTACCTCCTTGATGTCTCCTTGTCCGGTGGGTGGGATGGAGGCTCCTGTTTACATCTCCTCTACTTTGTCTTTGACTCAACGGCTGCGTCAAGGAGGATGAACCTTCTGCGCTCTGTGCGAGAGCTTTGCAGTCATCGGCCGTGAGGTGCATTTTCTTGAATCGCTTCACTGCTTTGCCAACATGCAAAAAAAGAGACCCCCAAAACCAAACTGTTAGCAAATAACAATATGGAATCCACGCCTTTAACAGAGGCATAAATACACAGTTTCTTTTCAGAAATTTTATGGGACAACCCCAGCGTTTCAGCCAGGAGTTTCTCTGAATAAATCATAGCAGAAGCTCTTACAAAGCTCCGGTGAGACGCTAAGGAGGGCAATGTATCGTGTCAAGGCCACACATCAGCAGTCACTACAACAGCAACTTCACCCCAGGTCTCCACTCGTGGGTTGTACAAGGCTTCGGAACAAAAGAGGATGATGTAAAACCAGAATCTGTGCATGTCTGTGGCCTCCTCTACAATACCATAACATGGAGGAAGCAGATACAGTGAAGGCAAAGGATCATTACCAGGATGCCGAGGAAGCCTGCAGAGGCTGAACTGTGCAACCCCCGGTGAGAGATGACAGTGATTTGCCCAGGGAAGGTCAGAGCCAACATTCAAACACACAAAACTACAGCCTCTCGCAAACAGATCCCAGCTGGCATCCTCCATTAAGGAGGAAACGCAACTCACTTGCAGCACAGCTCTTCCCCATGAGAACGAGCACAAAACTACCTAAGAGTTATGTTAAAAAAACCTTACTTGAAGTCTGCACGAGCTCCTCTTTTCTGTACGCGGGACGGCCAGCAGAAAAAGTAGAAACAATGCAACTTGCTTCTACCAAAAATGCTCACGAGAAACCCGAAACCACGTCACAGGATGAGCTTCCTTCCCGTAGGAGAATTATCAGCAAAACACAACTCACGCGGTTTCACTTTTACTTTAATATTACACGGTGCTGCGGAGGATAAACTCCTCTAACAGGTTTATGGTAGCCACGAAAGTAATCGACTGATCTCGTACAGCAGGGTCCAAGGGCCAGTTTGTTTCATTATGCTGCTTCCTCCTTTTCATCCACATCAGCTCGATGGAGCAGCGTTAAACGCACCCGCTGAGCTCCCTGGGGAGGCTGTTTTCTAACATCCCATGTTCCTCAAAACACCGCAAATGAGGCAAGAAGAAGAAGCAAAAAAAAAAAAACCAATGCAAGACAGTCCTGTGGCACTTAGGGACATGGTTTAGTGGTGGAATTGGCACTGTTAAGTTTATGGTTGGACTTGAAGATCTTAAGGGTCTTTTCCAACTTAAATGATTCTATGATTTTACTTAAAAATGGTATTTCTCACTTGCAATTAAAAAGTATGAAACAGCACGAATGGTTGAAGCACCCCAATTCTCTTAAGATGGTGCTGGCAAATGTCAGAGCTGCGGTACCGGCTCTGTGCCCGTTCCCGGAGCTCTCGGGACACGGAGAGATCTCACATGAGACTGGATGTAGGATAGGAAACAAAACCTCTGCTCTCCCACCCCAGGACAGCAAACCCCCTGATACGCCAGGACCGTGGCACAGGGTTCAAGTCCAGAAACCCAACACGAGAAGATGACCCGCTCAGGCTTTCACCTGCATTCATTTTTTCTCCTTTTTCCCAGGATTTTCCATTGGCGACAGCAGTAGAGACACAAGAGCTGAGCAAAGGTTCCGTCGCAGGGCCCTGTCACCGAAGGAACGTGCCGGGGAGCAGAACTCCTCAGCCACGAGAAGACACTCC